TATTCTAATCTTAATTATTTTGTTATTATTATTAAAATTATTATTAATTTTTATATTTTATTTTTATAATTTTTAAATTAAATAAATAATTTAAAATTAAAAATTTTTTAATGTTTAAATCTATACTAAATATATCTTATAAAATGAAGCAAAAAAAAAAAAAAAAAAAAAAAAAAAAAAAACTTTTTTTTAAAAAAAATAATATTAATAATATATATACCTGTATTTAATAGTTTAGCGATTTTCTCTTTATTCGTAAAAGCCAAAAAAGCTGATTTTACAGTAAAAAATTTCACAAAAGCAAAACTCTAATATCCTCTATCAAAAAACTCCACATCTTCGACCCCTCCGAAATTAGTAGATAGGATATCTTTTATTTTATACTTACATTTATAGCTTATATTACTAATCCAAATCTCTCTAACTAAAAGGGTTTAATTAATTTAAGACCTATCTGCACTATTGAAACTTTCCAATGGTTGATTACTATTAATTTATTAATATTATTATTAGTGAATTTAATTATTATAATAATTAAAAGGATGAGCAGGAACAGGAGGATGAGTGACAGCAAAAGGTAAGTTTTATTAAAAGTTTTGCATTTAGTCACTATATTATTATTATTAATATTATAAAGGTGCAAAACTGGGGTTATTTTATTAAAAAACAAAATGTTATTTATTCATCATTATATTAGGATTTTAATATTGTTATTATTATTAATGTTATTAGTGTTATTAATGTTATTAATTTTATTAATGTTATTAGTGTTATTAATGTTATTATGTTACATGGGTTTTGGGTTTTGCCAAAGAAAGAACCCAATTTTAGTTTGGATGGGCGACTTTATACACTACATTTTAAGCTTCACTAAAAATCTCGTAAATTACATATGCATATGTATTGTCGGGTTTATTAAAAAGCTTGAAGTCGTTTATCTTACCAAATTAAGAAAAATATTATAAGAGCTCCTCTTTATTTGCATTTCTTTCGATGTTATTTATAAAAACTTTAGTTCCTTGTATATGAGTAGTTTTTGGCATTTCTGGTTATGGCTTGGTGTGTTAGAATTGATATTTTTGGCCAATTTAAGGAGGGTAGTGACTTTAGTAAAATATGTGTTTTTATTATTCAAATTATTATTGTTAAGCGGGCTTGTTTAGGATATTCGCGGGATTAGTAGTAGGGGCAGATATTATAGGATTTAGGTTTTTAGGGGATAAAAGTTAATTTAAACCGTAAATATTGTCATCGAACATTTAGTTTAGATATTGTTAATCTTGATTCATTTTTTTTTATTTATTTATTTATATTTATATATATATTTTTTTAAATAAAGGAAATAGTTTTTATTTTTTTAAAGAAAAAAATATATTTATATACTTTTTTTATTTTTATAATTTATTTTTTATTTTCCTATATGTAATTTAAGTAATTATAATCATAATTAAATTTTTTTGTTAATGAATATTACATATATATATAATTAAAATAGATTATATTTAAAAAAATAATGAATGAAAGTAATAGTTTGAATTTAAATATTATTACAAACATAAATCCAGAGTCAAAATTACTTAAATAATCGCAATTTATAATTGTCAAATATTAAAGTTTATTGAAAAAATTGATATAAATTTTTTGTAGGCTATAAACTGATATATAAATTAATTAAAATTAAAAAAATAATAATATTATATATTATAAATAAATAAAATATGAATTTAATGAAGAAAATTATAATTAAATTAATAAATTTAAAATTTTTGATTACTAAATTAGTTAATATTAATTATTTTGAATTAAATTAAATATATATATATATATATCTAATATATTAATTATTATAAATATATTTTGTTTTTACTTTTTTATATATATTATTATTTAATTTTAATTTATATTTTTTTAAAAAATACTTATTTATTTTTTTGAATTTAAAAAAAGAATTTAAATAAAATTTTATAAAGTTTTATACTTTATTTTTTCATGATATATTATTAAAAAAAATATTAAAATATGTCAGTATATATTAATTTTAATTATTTAATTCAATATTTTTGTTAAAAAAAAATTAAATAAATTCTTTAATTTTTGTTATTATAGTTTTTATTTTTTATGTAAATTTAAAAATTAATAAATTAAAAAATTAATAAACTAAGAATTTTTTATTAAAAAATTACTTTATATATTAATATTTTTAATCCTATATATTATTTTAATTAAATATAATTACAAAAAATATTATACTAATTTGTGTTTATAAATACCTTTATTTTACATTATTTTATATAATTATATAATGATATATATATTTTTGATTATATAATAGTATAATGATTCATATTTTTTGTTATTTTCTTTCTAATTTTTTTAAAAATATATATTTAATTCCATGTTTTATTATGTAAATAAAATACTACAAATACATTTGAATATATTTTCTTTAAAATATACAAATAAATATATTATTAATTATTTTATTTAAAAGATTTTTTAATTTAAATATATTTAATTCTTTTTATTTAAAAATATATAATTTATAACCATAAAAATAAAAAAATATTACATATATATAAAGAAAATATTAAATATATAAATATTTTATAAAATTAAATAATAATTTATATTAATAAACATTTAATAAATATTTCATATGTAAAATGTTATTTTTTTTATTTATTATTTAATATATTATATTGTAAATCTTTTATCAATATTTATTTTATTTTTTTTAATTAATTATTCTAACAAGCATTTATTATTAGAATGATTTCTCCTAAAAATTTTAAGTTAAATTCTATTATTTATTATTATTTAATTTTTTATTATTGTATGCTTATAAAGATTTATCATTTTAAAAAAATTTAAAAGTATTATCTTTATATAACTTATTTTTTGGAGATAAATTAATAAAAGAATCATCAACTTTAACAAAAATTTAGCTTTTTTTATTTAATATATTTGAATTTTCATTCTAAGTATTATAAGTTTAACTAATACTAGTATTATAGTTTTAGATAATTTTGTTAAAAAATACATTTCTTTTTTAATTAAAATCTTCAAATTAAATTATTTTTTAGTTTTAGTGATTGTATATTTTGTTTACATTTTATATTTATTTAGTTTTTTAAAGATTATTAATATTATATTTATTATTATTATTATTATTATTATTATTATTATTATTATTATTTATTTTTGAACTATTTTATCTTCCTGAATATAAAATATTTTATCTATTATTTTAATTTTCTTTATTTATTATTTATGAATGTGAAATACTTTAATTTTAATTTTTTTTATTAACAGAAGTTGATTTATTTTTTTACACTTTTTTATTATTCATTATATAAGATGTATATTATTGTACTATTTAGGATTTATTATTTTTTTAAATTTATTACTCTTTTACCTTTTTTTTTATTAATTGTTGTCATTCGGAGTTTTTTATTTTATTAAATCCTAATATTATTTAAATGATTTTTTTTATTATTAACTTTTATACTAATCTAATTTTTAAGAATCAAATTTAATATTTAATAAAATTTAATTTTTTGGGTTCTATTATTATTAATTTTAAATGTATTCATTTTTGTATTATTATTATGTTTAATAGTCATTTTTATAAAAGGAATTATGTCCTTCATTTATATAATTAGAGTATTAACAAAAATCATTATTTTTATATAAAGATAAATTTTGTTTTATGTTTAAAATTTAATTTTTAGCTTAATTATCTTTTTTTGTTTAATTTTAAAAAGTATGTAAACTTTCAGTTTTTAATTATTTTTAATTATTTTTATTATAAAAATCGTTTTTTGGGAAACTTTAATAATCATTTTTTTTTTTCTTTTCTTATTAATTATTTTTTTTGAGCAAAGGATTTATTTCTATTTTTTATACACTTTTTTATTATTATTAAATATTTTCTTATTATTTATCTTAGAAATTATTTTAACTATTTGAATGTATTTTTCTTTTCATCATTTGTACTTATACATTGTCAAGTTTTTATAAGGCTTAAACCAGAAGTTTTCTTTCTTCCCTTTTATAAGTATAGCCAATAAAATTTTAATCTAAATCTCTGTTTTTAAAACACTATTAATTATTTTAATATTCATAATCCCAAGGTTCTTCTTCTTCATATTTTTCAAATCTACTATCATCTGTTTCACTTTTTATCTTTTTTTTTATATATATATTTTTAAAAAAATTTAAATCAACAAAAATTAGGGGTAAATATATTAAATCTTTTTTTAAAAAAAATAAATAAAAACTTTTGGAATAAAAGGAGCATTTTAAAATTGAATATTCTCCCAATTTATTCCATCAAAAAAAGGATGTTTTTTATTTCATTTACGCCTATTCTTTTTTCATTTTCTATAATTAGTTTTTTAATTAAATCTTTTGCAACTGTTGATATTTGAGGTTCATTTGGAAACTAAAAATACTTTCGCCATTAAACTATTTTCTTACAAGTACTATTTGGATTTTCTGAATTAAATGGGGGATAACCTATTAACATTTCATATATAATAATTCCTACAGACCACCAATCTACACTTTCTGTATATCCTTCCTATCCAAAAACTTCTGGTGCTATATAATCAGGAGTTCCTACTGTTGAAAATAGTCTTTTTCGATTCTTTTTAGGAAGATAAGCCATATTAGTTAATATAGGAGGTTCTTAATCTTATATTTATTCTTCTTTGAAACTTTTATTTTTTATAGGAAATATTTCCTTTTATTTTATATTTATTATTTATATTTTAATTTTTTTTAATTTACCGTTTATTTACATAATCCAAAATCACTCAATTTAATATGACCATTTTTTGTTAATAAAATGTTATCCGGTTTTATATCTCTATGTATATAATTCATTTTATGTACTGATTCTATAGCTAAAACCTAATAAAAATTCATTATAAATATTTATTTATTTTGTTAAAAAAAAAAAAAAAGATTGAAATATTATTACTATTTCTGCAGCATAAAATCTCACTTCTATTTCAGAAAGAATACTTCTTTCAATTAAAAGTGTCATTAAATCACCTCCTTATAAAAATTCCATTACTAAATACAAATATTTTTAATCCTAAAATATATATATATATATATATATATATATATATATATATATATATATATATGTAGAAATATTTTTATTTTTTAACTTAAAAACTATTTTTTAATTCAACTATCCAAGATATATTATTTGCTAATGCTAATACATCCCTTTCTGCTATTACATGACTTACTTAATTTTTATATATCATTTCACTTTTTTTCATCTTTTTTATAGCTACTATTTCTTATGTGTGTTTACATTTACATATTCTTACTTCACCAAAGGCTCCTTTTCCTTTTTTTTTTATATAATTTTTATAGTTTAATTGTTTTTATTTTAAACAAAAATAACCTATTATTGATAAAGGTTCAAAATCATTAGCTGTTATTTTTTTACGCCTTTTGTTTATATATTTTTTTTTAAAAAAAAGCTATAATCATGCTTTTTTTTACATTAATCTCATATTTTAGGCCTCTTATTGCTTGATTTTGTTTATTATTTATTGAGATTATTATGAAGATAAATTTAATTCTGAAATTTTGGTTTTAATTGCTTCCCAATTATCTTTTCTTTCTTTTTCAAGAATCTTTATTTTTGAATATTTTTCTAAATTTATTTTATAAATTTTTTATATTTCTAGTATTTTTATTTTTTAATAAAAAGCAGAAATACATACTTTCTATATATGATTTGGCTGCTTCAGCTTTTTGTATTGCAATTCCAGAAGTTTCTTAGGCTTTATTTTAAATTTAAATATTCATTTTTTTATATTTATTTAATAAATATTTAATAATTTAAAAAAAAAAAATTAAATGTCCTTTTTTTTTTTTTTTTTTTTTTTTAATTAAAAATAAATTTGAATTTTTACTTAAAAATATAAAAAAAACACTTTAAATATTTATTAATTTTTATAAAAAAAAATTATTTAAAAATTTAATATCGAAAATTTTTTTGTTTTATTAAATTAAAAAAAAAGAAAAAAAAAAAAAAAAAATCAAATTAAAATTTAAAAAAAATATATGGACACAGAAAATTAATAATAAAATATTATTCTAACAAAAGAACTTGACGAATGGTTAAGTAAAACAATTTAGCCTTATTAACAAAGAATAGAGCTTCTTGAAAAAAGCTAAATGTAAAAAGATGCTTAAATACTTTCTTTAAAATTAGCCATTTAAAAAATGAATGAACTCTTATTAACTTTTGATAAAAAATCTGCTACTAATACATCTCATATACCTGCACCTTCTCATCATATACCAGCTTCTAAATTATCTGTTAGTAATATTTTATATATATATATTATTATTTATTTATTTTTTTGATAGAAAAAGAAGATGAAATAAAAAAAGCTGCTGGAGATACATAAAAAAAAAGATCAATAACAGAATTAAAAGAAGAAAAAAAAAATAGTAAGTTGAAGAAAAAAAAAGACTTTGGCAGTAATAAAAGAAACAAGTAATAATTAAAGTAAATAGAATTTAGATACTGAAGATAAAAATTAAAAATTATAAAATAAATCTTAAGTCGAAACAAAGAAAGTCGAAAAAAAAGAAGAAAAAAAATAAGAAAAAACAATTGAAAAAAAGACAATTGAAAAAAAACGGGAAGAAAAAAAGCATGAAAAAATAGAAAAAAAAAACGAAAAAAAACAAGAAAATACAATTGAAAAAAAAGAAATAAAAAAAGAAGTAAAAAAAGATGAAAAAAAAGATGAAAAAAAAGATGATAAAAAAAAAGATGATAAAAAAAATGAAAAAACAGATGAAAAAAAAGATGAAAAAAAAGAAGAAAAAAAAGAAGAAAAAAAAGAAGAATAAAAAGATGAAAAAAAAGATGAAAAAAAAGATGAAAAAAAAGCTAATCTTTAAAAAACAAAAAAAGATGAAGAAATTAAAAAAAATTAAGATTTGAAAAATAAAGATAAATAAACTTAAAATAAACAAATAGAAAAAAAAGAAAATTCTCATCCTGTTATTAAAGGAAAAAAAAGTAGTGATAATAAAAATACAAAAAAATAAGATCAAAATGAAGTAAAAGAATAAACAATAGAAAAAAAAGAATACATAAATGAAGTTAATGGTAAAAAAGAAGAAATAAAAAAAGAAGAAGTTATTGAAGATCCTATAGTATAAATTGAAAAAAAATAAGATAAAAATGAAGAAATAAGTGTGTCATTAAATAAAGATATAATAGAAAAATAAATAAATGAAGAATAATTAAAAGTATAAAAAAATATAAATTTAAAACTAAATAAATATATATTAATATATATATATATATATTTATTTAAATTTTTTTTATTTTTTAATTTTTTTTATTTATATATTTAAATTTATTTATATTTAATTTCATTTTATTAGGAAAATTTTGTTAGTGAATAAAAATAAGAATCATAAAATTAAGATGATGATGATGAAATTATTTGATTTTATTATATTTATAATATTTTTATTTTTATAATTATTTAAATAAAAAAAAAAGTAATATTTATTTTTAATAAAAAAATATTTTGTTCTATTTATTAAAATATTTTATTTTTCAAAATATTTTTAATAAAATATAAATAAAAATTTATTTTATTAATTATCATTATTATACAATAACAAAAAAAAAATGCTTTTAATTAATAATAAATAATAAAACTAACATTAATTGAAACTTTAAAAATCTTTTTCATTGAAATAAATCTAATTTAATGCTACTTAATAATTTCCATTCTTATCATCATAAAAAAAACGAAGTTCCAAAGTATCACTTCCCCATATTGATAATTAATTATAAATTTCAAATAAAAAACTAGTATTTATTGGCGAAGGAAATAATGATTAACTAATAAGAGATTATTTTGATAAAAAGTAAATAAAAAAAAAAGTAAAAACAAAATAATAAAAAATAGAAATTAAAATTGGATAATATTATAAAAAAACTTCAAATATATACAAAAATATCACTTTAAATGGGTACAATCATAATATGAGATTGACTGGTAGTTTTTTAAAGAAGGGCAAATAGTAAACCATATTTACAATATAAGCATTATATCAAATAAATCAAGACTTAACTAAACTCTAAAAGAGTTCGAAAATAAATAAAAGAATCCTTTTAATATTGACTCTACTTAATTTTTGCCTCTCACCTTTCGATTAGATGTCATAAGAGAATAATATTCTATAGAAGAATAATAATTTTTAAACTAAAAAAATTAAGGGATTTGGATAAATAAACCTAGTAATGAGAATTAAGGTAAAGGTATTTAAATGATTTCGGATATTAAAAAATTCAAAAATGAATTTGTTATTTTAAAAGATAATTCTTACTCTTTTAAGTAAAACGGTCAAATTGTTTCTACTAAATATCCAGTTTTTCATAAAACTTCAATTATTTAGAAATATATAGAAAATCCACTTTTATTAGATAGGAAAAAATTTGATATTAGATGCTATTTACTAATCGTATCTACAAATCCATTTATAGTCCTTTTTAATTAAGGTTATTTAAGATTATCTATTAATGAATATAATAAGAGTAAATTTATATAAAGTTTAATTTAATATTTATTTAATGTAATAATTTTATAATAAAAATTATAAAAAAAAAATATAAATTTTATATTAAAAAATTAAATAAATTAAATGTAAATAATAAAAATGAAAATAAATATAAATATATAATAATAAATATATATATATATATATATATATATATATATATAATATAGATAATATAAATAGTGCAAGTGAAAAATTCACACATTTAACTAATGCTGCTATATAAAAAAGACATCCAAGTTTTTTACAAAATAAAGAAAATACCATTTGGAGTTATTAAAAATTTAGGGTTTCTTTAATATTTTTTATTAATTTTTAAAAATACTTCTTAATTTTTTTTTATTTATTTAATCTTTTTTAACTCTCAATATAATTAAAATATAATTTATACATTTTCTAATGTTGATTATGTTTTTAATAAAAAAGTTAAAGAAATTTAAATATTAAATATTTTAATAAATTTTTTAATTAAGTTTTCTAATATATTTTTATATAAATAAATCAAGGATTATTTAATATATAATTATAATATTTAAAAATGTGTAAGTAGATGAACTTGATAATAAAATAAAATCTATTTTAACTTATGTTATGATATCAATTGAAAAAAGAATTGATAAAAAAAAGGATGCTTTGAATTATTAGGTTGTGATATTTTGATTGATAGTAATCTAAGACCTTATTTAATAGAAATAAATTCTAATTCAGCAATAGTTACTGGTAATATAAATATATATAAAAATATATATAAATTATATATATAAAATATATATAAAAATATATAAATAAATGTATATAAATATTTATATATATATATATTATATATATATATATATATATATAATTTAATTATATTTTTTACTTTTAATATTATTATTTTATATTTTTTTTTTATAATAATTATATTATAATTATTATGATTTTTTTTACTTATTATTATTAAGTAATATAATTTTTTTATTTTTTATATAGATACTTTAGTATAATAGTAAATTATTCCCTAAGTTGTTAAAGATACTCTAGATATAGTTTTAAAATTTTATCAAGATGGAAAATTAAGTTTATATAATAAATGTTTTACTTTATTAATTGATGTTTCAATTTAATATTGTTATTTATAAAAGCAAACAGATTAGAATCTAATTTGATATATTTTTTTTAATATAAAAATATTTAAATTAAATGATAAAAATAATAGTGTAAATAAATTAATAATATATTTAATTATATATTGATATGTAAATTTTTACTAATAAAATAAGATATTTAAAATTTATTTTATTTTTTCCAAATTTGATTTTTTTTTGTTTTAAAATATTAATTATATATAAAAAAAAGAATTAAATTTAAAATAAATGAAATTTTATTTAATATTTATATATATAATAATACATTTTCATTTATTTTTAGAATTAATATAATTTTATATTTATTCACCCATTAATTTACTCTCAGGTTCTAAAACTAAGCATCTAAATCTTAGATTTTTCTCATTATACCAACTATATGTATTATCAAATTCTATTTAATAAATACCTGGTTTTACAGCTAATAATACAACTTTATAAGGAATTTAAGAAGAATCAATTCTTTAATTTAAAAGAATTACATTTTAATTTTCATCTTAGAAGTCTATTTTTTATAATTAAACTCTTATATCATGTTTTATTGTTGCAAATCCTAAATATATAATACTCATAGGAAATTTGATTTCTACATAATGTATATAACCTAATATTTTTAATTTTTATATATATATAAGAAAAATAAAATTACTTTTTTCAGCCTCTACTATTGTAGATTAAGCGAAACTATTTCTAATATTTAGATTCGAAAATTGTTAAATATGTTTATTATAAATAGTATTTTCTATATATTTTTTATCAAAATATTATGATTTTAATAACTTTTATATATTCTTATATTTTTAATCTAAAATAATATTTTAGAAATCTTCATATATTTCAAATAAAAAATTAGCGGCTAATTATTCGTTTTCCTCTTGGGAGTTTTCAAGAACTGAAAGAATCGGATTTTGAAGATTATCTCGAAATAAAGGAAAGTTTATATATATTGTTCTTAGTAAATTTATTGTATATTTTATAATTTCTTAGTCTTGTAAAAACAATAATAAAGAATTTACTATTAAAGCTATATTTCCATATATAAAATCACTATTTTTTAATACATTAGTTATTCCTCTCATTTCATATAATGCAACAAATCCCATTTAATAATTCTATAAATTTAAAATATATATAAGAATATATATATAAACATATATATATATATATATATATATATATATCTATATAAATATATATATATATATAATAAAAAAAATATATATATATATATAATTAAATTAAATTTTTAATTACATCATTTTATTCTTTTTTTTTATTTTCTTCAGGCTAATGTTTAAAAAATTCAATTTTTTTATCTTTTTCGAATTCTATTTTAACTTTCGGATTAAAAATTAAAGTTAATACAAATTTACATAAATAAACCATAAAATCTTTCGCTGAATTATCTTTTTTATCAATATTTAAAGGAATTCTACATAAAGCTCTAATTATTTAAGATGTCTGGTTAAAAAGGCTCATTTATTATGGATAATTAGAACATGTTTATGAAAAAATATCAAGTAATAATTCCAGTGCTTATGTTTTTTTAAAAAATCATTATTTTCTGACAAAAAAAGGATATCCCCTAAAAATTTTTAGTTTTCTTTTAACAAATCTTAATTTAAATTTGGGTTTAATGTAATGGGTTCTATATTGTATTAATTTTCATTGTTTGTTTTTAAAATATGGTTAATTAATTAATTTAATTAATTGCATATTTCAAGGCCATTTAAAATACTTATGCAATTACAAATTGTATTTATTAAATTTATTTAGATACTGGGATTTTCTATTTTTTATATAAGTTCGCTTTTAAATAAGTTTATTAATATATGAGCTATTTTGTAGGATTTGCTGAATTAATTACTCTCATTTTCTAATATTTGAGTAAGCTTTTGGATTTCTTTGTCGTTTAAGTAAATTTTTTTGATACTGTTTTCAATATTTATTGCACATTTAGTGGAATTATGTCTTTAAAAATCTATTTATTCATCTTATTAAATACCTTAATTGTTATATACTTTAAATAGTTTTTGGATTTGTTGGATTTATTATTGGAGATTTTCGTTTGTTATTTTTGGATCGTATATTGTTTTATCTATATGTTAAAAAAGTAGGTCCATTTTGTATAAGATTTTAAGAATATAATATTTATGTATTTATTTTATATTAAATGTTTTATAGTTAATTAGTGTTATATATAAAAAAATATTTTTATTTTTATGATAGTATATAAATAATTCATATTATATTTCTTTTTAATTGATTTAATTAATATATAAATATATATTTATTTATTTAAATATCAATTTTATATTTTCCCGTGAAATCAAAATTAAGTTAAGCAAATTTTATTTTAAAATTTATTAATTTAAATACTTAATAATGTTTTCAGATTTTTTTTTATTTTTATTTTTCTATTTGAAATATTTTAATAATATAGATAGTATTTTGAAGATTCAACTAAATAATATATTATTCTCTTAATTTTCTAGTATTTTATTTTTCACATTTTTTTTTATAAATCAAAATGATTATATTTTTATTTTTTTTTATATCAATTAAAATTTTAAAAATTAAATTTAATTAATTAAATTAAATTTTTTATAAAAATAAATAACATCAAAGATATAAAAAATAGTATAAAATATAAGAATAATAGTTTTAATTATTATTATTAGTAAATAAGTTATTATAAAATAGTTAAAGTGTAATTAAATATTAATATTATTAAATTATTAAGTCAGAAATCTCCATTAATAGATAAAAATATAAATTATTAATGGTACAAGAGAATAAAAAGAAGAATTAATAAAAGAAATTGAAAAAAATTCGATATTTGATAATAAAATAAAGAAATCTAAAATTATTAAAAATATAGATAAGAACATAATAAAAAAATTGACACTAAGTACATTTATCTAATAAAATAATAATTTACATAAATAAAATATTTACTTTTTATTAATTAAACTCTATTATTAGTAATTTAGATTAACATAATTAAATATAGACTATTTAAAACAAAATATAATATAATTTATTATATGAAGAGATTATAAACTAAAATAAACAAAAATTAAAGAAAATAAATGCCTCTGATAAATAATAAGATTTATAAGAAAATCTTATTTAATTTAAAAAAATCTAAAAGAATATAAAAAATTTTTAACATTAAAATTACTTTATAAAATAAAAATCAATAAAAAATAAATAAAAAGCAAATAGGAAAGGAATTAATTAGTAAAAAAATATTAAAATTATAAGAATGCTCAATAGTAAAATAATAAATAAAAATAAAGTTATAAATGAGGAATTTTATTAGTTTAGTGTTTAAAGAATTTTATTATATCTTGATATTAAATAAAAAATTAAAAATATATTGATAATAAAATTTATATAAAAAAATTATATTATTATCAAAATTAATTCATTTAAAAGAAATTATACCATTAAAAATATTCTTTATTAAAATACTATAATAAATTTATATATGAATATAAATTTTTTAAATATAAGATAAAATATCTTGTTTTCAATGATATATATATAAATATTTTATAAGTATTATAAAAATAATATTAAATATATATAAAATAAAAAAATATATAATAATTTAAATTCATATAAATAAATAATAAAAATAAATGAAAATGTCAAAATTATATATAAATATATATAAATAAATTAAATCTATATTTTAATAAATTTAATTTTAATAATACGAAGATAAATAAAAATATATATATACACGTATATATTAAATTTTTAGGTATAAATATATAAATATATAAATATAAAAATATTATATATTTAGATATATATAATATATATATATATTATTAATTATCTTATACAAAAAAAAAAATATTTTAATTTATTTTATTATTTTTTTTTTTATTATTATTTATTTTTAATTATAATAATATTACATTTATCTAATTTATTTTCAAAATAATTTTTTTTTACTTTTTTTTTATATATGATTTATTAATTGCAAAACATATATATAATAAAAATTAAATTAACAATATTAAATAATATTACTTTTATTTATTTATAAATTTAATTATTAATAATAAAATAAATTTTAAAATAAAATATTACAATAAAAACAAAAAAAATAGTATAAATATTTTTTATAATTAATTATAATTATTTTTGCAAAAAAAGAAAAGATTTTTAATAAAAAAATATTTATTTTTAATTAATATTAAATAAAATTATATATTAAATAAAAATAAATTAAGATATAATATATAATTTTATTTTATATATATTTTATTTATTTTAAAAATAATAAAATATGATTTTATTTTTAATAATTTATTTTTTAATTTAAAAATAATTTATATATAAAATTAATATATATAATTTTATAATCATAAAATTAAAATATTCATATACGTATAATTTTATATTTATATATTAATATATTTTTAAAAGCATTTATTTTAAAATAATTGTCACACTAAATTATATTTACGTAAATATATTAATTATTATACAATATATTATTTATAAATTATTTAAAAAAAAATTAAATATATATTTAAAAATATAAATTATCACACACTTTTATAAATCAATATAAAAAAAAAATCCTTAATATAATAATAAAAAAAATCTCATACATATTTTTTTAATTCATTTTAATATTTAATTATGAATCGAAAATTGTATTTGATTAATATGTTTTTCCTTTAAAATTTATTTAATAATATAATTTCGGAAAAACATATCTATAATTATATTTATTTTTTAAAAAATTAATAATATAATTTGGTGCTAAAATAACATAAAATTTATTTTTTAAAAATAAAATAATTTATAAAAAAAAAAAAAAAAAAAATAATAATTATATTTGTATTATTAAAATTTTATTTTAAAAAAATGGATAACAGGTTTTATGAAATAGAAACAATAAAAGCAATAAGATATTTAAAAAAATAATAATTTTAATTATTAGTTAAATGGAAAGGATGGGGCGAAGAAGATAATACATGGGAACCATTTTCAAACATAAAATAATGCATATGGGCATTAAAGAATTTTTATTAAACACATGTAAATAATGAATAAATAACAAAAACTGATGCATGGAAAAAATTTATATAATTACTCTAAAAGCATAGATATTTAAATAGTCAAGGAAAGTTTTTAATAAAAAAAAAATACGCTTATTATGTTGATGTTGATGAAGATAAAAGCGAAGAATATGAAAATAAGTATTAATTGCCCCCAAAAAATTAAAATTAATAATAAAAAGAAAATCAGCAATAATTCTAAATAAATGATAAAAATAATTCTAATAAAATAACTAAATATAAAGACATAAAAAACAACACTGATATTCTAAATCAGCAATAAGGTGTTTTATTATATCATATATAAATATAATGATGTATGATATTTTTTTTCTTGTTATTTCAATATAATTATATAATATAAGTGGATAATATAAATCAATTTATATATATTTTAATATTAATTTAAATAGATAATTTGAAATAAAATGATATTGAAAAATCACAAAAAAAATAAAATTTTAAGAGAAATTTCAAAAATAAGCTTTATTAATTAATGAAAGAAAATAATATAAATATTAAATGTTAAAAAACATAAAAATATGTATTATTAAGAATAAAAAAAATGATTAGATAAGTAAAATAAATAAAAAATCTTATATATATATATATATATTTTATAAGGGAAAACTATTGAAAAAAATTAAAGGTATTTACAATAAATAGAAGATTTATATTTATAAAAATTTAAATAATATAGAAAGAAAAAATAAAATAGATAAATTAAACAAAAGTATAAATGATTAAAATAAACAATAGGAAACATAATAATAAGAAATATTTAAAAGTTAATAATAAAAGTAAAAAAAATAAATATAAAAAAAATGAATTTAATAAATATAAAAAAATTATTATAAATTATATTAAATTTTCTTAATAAAAAAGAATTTAAGATGAAAATAAAAATATAAATTTTAATAATAATTTAAGCATAACTAATAAATAAAATATTATTAATTTACCATAATAATAAGGTACACATATATTTTATTATATCTTTTTATATATCAAAAAAAAAAGATATTATAGAAAATAATTCATTAAATGATACTTATCAATAATTTAACGATTAATATATTGAAAGTATATTATATATTATTAATTTTATAAATATATTTTTTATAAAAGACTTTGAAAAAATAAATATTTGCCTTGCATAAGGAAACTAAAAATTAATATATTAACCTAATAAAATAGTAAATTAAGATTACCATCCATATAAAAAAGGATAATATATCTTTTACGTTGAATATATAGACAAAAATACAGAAAGTGAGTATTATTGGGTAGAAGGAAGTATTTTAAAATAAAGATATCCATAGTTAATATTCGAATACTATGAAAAACATTTAAAGCTTATTAATAATTGAAAATAAAATTAAAAATATTAGTTATAAATATTTATTTAAATAAAAAACATAAAATAAAATATTATAAAAAAAATAGTTTTTAAAAATAATAAATATAAAAAAAATAAATAATTTTAAAGATTAATTAAATTTTATATATATATATATATATATATATATATATATATATATATATTTTATTCATATATATTTTATATTCTATTAAAATTCATTTACTTTCATTTTATATTTTTAATATTTACAATATTTTCAACCGAATTTTATTATTTTATTTCTTTTTAATGAAATTATTTTTATATATTTATATTGCTTATTTATGTTAAATACAATATTTATTTTTCTAATACATAATTATTTTATTATAAATTATCTAAAAATATAAAAAAAATTATTATATTAAAAATTTTTATATAAAAAATTTTTTTATTTACTTATTAAAAAGATAAATATAAATTTTTTACAAACTCATATAAATAGAATTTATAACTAAAAATAATTTTATATTATAAATAAATTATTTAAATAAATACTAAAATTATTAAATTTATTATAAAAATCTTACAATTTATATATATAATAAGAATATTATATTATAATATTAACCATTTATAATTAAATAATAAAGAATTTATATAAAAGAAATTTAAATAAAAGAAAAGTATAAAATGAAAAAGTAATAAATTAAGAATAGATTAAATCATCTTAAATCCATATTTTAAGTTAATAAAGAATCATCCAAATTACATTTATTTTTCGAGTATTCGAAGACATTCCAAAACCTCAACGTTTCATCCCCTGCCCCGGTAACAATATTCCTTCCACAAGGACTCATTGCTAAATAAAGCACTCTTTACGTATGTCCTGTTAGAGCTTAAATTTTTTTCATATTCGGATATTTCCATACAATAATTTAATTCAAACTATATCCATGTGTACTTACAATTTCATTTTAATTTTTCGAAAACATTAAATTACATACTTAAGATCCCGAATCTAAGTAATCAGTTTATTTTAAAGTTTAAGTATTCCAAAATCTTATACATCTATCCGCTGTACCACCCCCACTTGCTAATACATTATGTTAATGTGGTGAAAAAGCCAAAGCCTTAACAGCTGCTTAATGGTGAGAAAATTTCGCCAATTCTCCCCCTTTTAAACTCCATAAAAACAACTTATTATCATTTCCTCCTGAAGCCAATATATTTTCATCAAAAGACCATTTTAATCCACATATTTCTTACTTATGTCCCATAAACTTCTAAACTGACCCACTAATTTTTCTCACATCTCTTATTAAAATATTCTTATCTCTAGATCCGGAAGCTATTAAAAATCCATTCCACGTAATACTTCCAACTCTAGACTAATGTCCAGGCATTATCTAAATTAACTTCTGTTTTACACTATCATAGAGTCTTACGTTCCCGAAAGAATCCCCCACTGCTATATGGTTACTTCTTTAACTCCAAGCTACAGAACTTACAGTATCTACATTTCCTAAATCGCACAATTAATAATTTTACGAAGTACACCCTGACCATATAAAAACTTTACTTTTTAAACCGACTGCTAGGTAGTTTTGGGGTGACCAATCGAGCAAATTTAAGTAAAAATCGTCTTATAAATTTGGAGACTCTAAAATTTTGTAAGGTTATTTTACTATTTTTCTTATATTGTGATTTTCTTAGGAAATTATTTAAGAGTTTTCTTTAATGGAAGAATTTAATTATGCTTAATGGAAAGAATTTTGTCTTCTAAGGCTATAAGTGAACAGGTTTTTATTTTTTTTACTAGAATATATATAATTATCGTTGTTAGTATTGTCATTATTGATATTAGTAGAATTCGAATTGTTTTATTCTTATAAAATCATAGAAGTACTTTCGTTTTTGTTTATTAAATTTTAAGGTTAATATTCTCCTAAAATAGATTATTAAAGTAAATTAGAGTACAAACGAGCACTGCTTTAGCCTTGACAACTATTTTAAGGTTCTTCTATTGTATTTTCATTCATAAACAAATCATATGTATTAGAAGATACTCTATTTGGTATATAACGGTCATTATATTTGATTTTTTTTTGGCTGTTTTATTATAGTTGTTAATTATTGCTATTATTACTTATATTAGAATATTAATTTGGATTTTTGAATTCACTGTGTATATTTATTGTTGATTATTCGAATTATTTTGAGTCTATATGTTGGAGAGATATACAATAATTTGAAAAGTTTTTATTTAATAATTTATTTTTAGTATTTTCGAAAAAGTTATTTTATATATGGATCTCTTCTTATATTTTTTCATGAAAAAACTCTTCTTCTTCCATATTTAATAAATTTAATGATTTACTATTCATTTTTTTTTTTAATTTTTTTATTATTGTGTTTTTGTATTTTTTTTTGTTTTTTTTTTAATTTTTTGTTTTTTTTTTTTTATAATGTTTTTTAGACTAACAAATATTTTTTTGCTTAATTGATATAGTTTTTATTAAAATTCTGTTAGAATTTTATTTTATTTTTTAAATTGCCTTTTTTTAATTCGTTTATTTTTTATAAATATATTACTTATTAGCATTGTTTTTTTTGTTTTTCTGTAATTTTTTTTAAAAAACAAAAAGAGAATAATTCGTATTTACTCACCTTTTTTATTTTCGATTGTGTTTTTTTTTTAAAAAAAAAAAAATATTAAAAAGTAATAATATTAATTTTTATTTAAATTAAATTATTCATTATTAAAAAAAAATAACAATATAATATTAATTATTAATATAAACAAAAATTTAAATAATAAATATAAAATTTATATTTTAATTATTTAGTATTCATATTTTTCAAAAAATTAATAGCTTTAAATAAAAATTTTATTTATGAATTAAATAAGCTTTTTATTTTCTAAATTCTAATATATTGTATAGTTTTTATTAAGTTAAAAAGCTTTCTTTTTATTAATTATTATAGACATAAAAAACTATTTAATAATAAGATTTTTTAGTTTTATTATAAAAATCTCTATTATATAGTTAAATTAAATACATATATAAATTATAAAATTTAACTTTTTTTAATAATATTAATTTATATTACTATTATTTTAATTTTTTTCCGTTAAGATTTTTGTTAATGAATTTTGTTTATTTTTTATTTCTATAAGGCAATGAAAATATTTTCTCTCTATCATAAAAAAATTAAAACAAAAGACGGTTTTTATTTTAAAGTTATGTTTTAAATATTTAAAAATTAATGATATAATAAACTACTATATATAATATTTTTAGATTAAATTGCTTTTATTTAATCTTTAGTTTAATATATTATATTTTTATTTAGGTTCCAAAAATTCTAAAACTGATTTATAAGGTTTAAATTTTAATTTATTATCAAGTTTTTAATAAATTAAAATATAGAATTTAATTTATTAAAAATAAATAAATAATTTGTCTAAGTTGTAATATTTATTTTAAATATTGATATGTTTATAAAAATAAAACCTTTTTATTATATATATAAAAGCATTTTCAGCAATTTAATTAGATAAACAATTTAAAATTAATAATTTATTTTAATTATATTTAAAAAATTTATACTGACTGAACGAAACTATTGGTATATAGACTTCTTGAATAATTATCATAAAATAAAAAATAAATTAATTAATTAATAATATATATAAACATATATTTTTAATATATTTTCAATAATATTATTTTTAATAATCATTATATAAACAATAAAAATAATATATTTTTATTTAAGCCTTTATATAAAATAATATAAAATTGTTAATATATTAATAAAGATATAAACATGATTATATAAAATGTGATATTTAAATCTATTAAAGAGTACAAATCATTTATTTTATAGTGGAATAAAAAAATAAATCTAAATATAATAAAAAATAAATAAAATAATAAATTAAAATGCACTTAATTTTTTTGATTAATCAATTAATTTTTCTAATTCTTCTAATTCTTATATAATACATAAATATTTTTGTTGTTGTTGAAATTAAACGAGTTAAATAATATGAAAAAAAAGTTCATTTAATACTAAATATACTATCATATACTTTTTTTATTTCTTTATATAAAAATAATAATCTGTTTTGCTTAACCAATATATAAAAAACATATAATTCTTATATAAAATATGTAAAAAGTTTAATTATATATTAAAAATAAAAATAAAAGATATAAAATTTTAATTATTTTTATTTACAATTATAACAAAAAAAAAAAAAACACTAAATAAATATGTAAATTAAATTTATTATAATAACAACACTATTTTCCTTATTATTACTTCCAAAATCTACATATTAACAAAATCTTGACAAAAAATGGGGTACATATAAGCCTCATTTGTTATTTTCACTAACCCAAAAATCCAAAACCCCTTTAAACTTCGGAATAATTTACAAAAACACCCAAAAATAATAATAAAAAAATAATAATGAAGAAGATTTTAGATGGTAATTTTTAAATAAAGAAGACTAAATATATGCCGATTATAAAATAAATAATGCCGAAGACATAGCTGAAGAATAAATAATAGACTAGAAACAAAATATCGAAATGAATATAAAATATATATATTAATAAGAAAATGATGAATGGGGTGTATTAATATCTACTCAAAATTTTAATAGTGTTAAAAACTTAGATTTGTTTATGTATTTTACAATAACTAAATATGAAAAATAAGACATTAAAATCGAGAAAACATACTTTTCTGTAAATGATTATTATAAAAATGATAATTAAATAATTTTAAATGTTCAAAAAGAAAATGAATAATTTGAGAAAAGAAAAAATACTGTGGAAATTAAAATATAAGAAATTAAAAAATAAAACAATTAAAAAAATTCAAGAAGTTAAGCTAGATTAGCCTCAAGGGATAAATTTGAATCTTGGGATATTTTAAAAATTTTAAAAGAGGAACTTTATTATAATTAGGATAATTTAAATATTAATTTTATTGCAAATGAATAGCTTTATACTTGTGATTAATAATAAGAAAATAATTAAGAAAATAATGTAAAAAATTCAAATAATAATATAGAAAATAATATCTTTTTCTTCCAGTTAAATCTAAATGAATAAAATCACGAAATATATATAAATTACAAAAACATAAAAAAACATGAAAAATTCTTCCTTTTTTCAATCTAAAATTTCCTTTAAATTTTTGAAAAAAACATTAAAATTTCAATTAAAAAATTTAATTAAAATTTCCTTCTTTTGAAAAAAAATACTTTTCCTTCATAAAATCAACCCTTTCTAATTTTCTTGGAGGAATTTTATTTTATCACGGAAAAATTTAATAAATAAACTCCCTAATAAAAAAAACTCCCTATAAAACAGTCTTCTCATGCTCCCCTTCTCGTAAAAAATTCCCTCGTGGCTTCTTATGGGACGAAGGCTTCCATTAGTTAATATTATGTAAATGGGACGAAATTTTATGCCAAAAAATAATCGAATAATGGATCACAAACATCGATATATTCGGCTTTATACCCCGTGAGTAAATATCCACAGAAGAAATAGCCTAAAAAATCGACCAGTAATTTCTCCTTTAAGACTTCCAAGAGGCTAACCCTCCTACTTTATTATTCCCAATATAAAATTTGATAAAAAAAGGTTATTTTTAAGAAAAAAGAACTTATTTAAAAAGCTTGAAAAATGGTTTAATTGGTTTATAACAACCTAAACTAATAAAGAAATAGAAAAAAATAAGGAAATAGCTTTAAGATGGAAATGTAAAAACAATAAATGCTCAGAAAGTAATTTTTTGGGTTCTGGTATTGACGATTATCCTCGTTAAAATAAAAATGTGTAATCTATTTAGTAATTAGATATTTAATGTTGGGCTATTTTTTTTTCGGAAACAATGTATGAAATCTCACATATTTTTAATTAAAAATAAGCAGAGGAAAATAATTAAAAAGTAGAGTTTTTTAACTAAAAAAAATACTAATATATAAAGGATATTTTAAATAAATAATTAATAGAGGATTTTTTAGACAAAACTGATAATCTTTTTAAAGATTTAGGAGTAAAAAAATAGTGTAATATATAATAAGAATAAGAGGAAGATTTTTGTGAAAAAGTATATATTACACATATTGGTTATATTAATTTGTTTCCATTAATTTTTGGAAAAATAAAAGATTAAGATTAATTATAAGCACTTTTTAATGTTATTTATTCAAAAGATTAACTTTGGACAGATTTTGGTTTAAGATCTCTTTCTAAATAAGACCCTTTTTATTAAAAAGAAGATAATTATTGGAGGGGTAATATATGGATTCCTATTAATTACTTAGTTTTGAGAGCTGTGAAATTATATTATTTTGATAATTAATTTGCTTAGAAAATTTATTTTGAATTAAAAAATAATATAGTTAATAATGTATTTAGAGTTTGGGAAAAAACAGGCTATTTATTTGAAAATTATCATCCAGAAAATGGAGAAGGATAAAGGGCTTTTCCCTTTAATGGATGGACAGCTTTGGTTATTTTAATTAATAATGATATATATGAATGATTTTTATTTTTTTTGTATATATATATATATATATATATTTTATTTATGTTTTATGGGCCTTTGTTTGTTTATTTAATTAATATATTGTTGGTTATAATGCTTTATTTTATTTTTTAATTGAATAACTTTTTCTTATATTTAAATAATATGAGTAATAAAAAATTAAAGGAGTCGCTTATTTTTTATTTTTAAAGGTTTATTTATCTATTTATTTTCCTCTATGTTTTATATATATTTTTAATTACAATTATACATAATTAAATATTATAAATTTAGATAATGCAGACTAGTTATTATTTCAATATATTTATGTTATTTTATTTTTGATGATTTTATTGAATTTATTTCCTTTTTTTGATAATAATATCTTTTTTAATTTATAATTTTTATAAATTTATAACAAAAACTAATTTTATTTATTAACTAAAAAAATATCTAAATATAGAAAAAAAACATAAAATTTTAAACTTTTGGATTTAAGTTTTATTTTTTATTATTTTTATAAAATATTTTCAAGTTTTTTTTGCTTTTCAATATTTTTAATTTATTACTAAAAATTATTCATATTTTTACACATATATGGACGATTCTTTATTCATATTTTTTTTTTTAATTTGAATATATTATATATTATTCTTTTATTTTAAAATTAAATTTTATATAAAAAAGAGTATTTTTTGATATATTAATAGTAAATACTTAGAATATTCATTAATAATTTGAACATTATATTAAATTAATTTAAATAAAAAATAATATATATTTTAATCAATATTTTATTTCTCAAAAAAATAAAATAAAAAAAAATGCAAAAATATTTTAAATATTTATTCCCATCTTCTCGTTAATACAATTTTTTTAAAAAAAAAAATAAATAAATAAATTAATAATTAAAAAAAAAAAAAGTATTAGTTGGTGTAGTAGGTTATGTTTCAATAAAATATATATGGATAAAAAATTTCGAGTAAGAATATATAGATAAACCAAATAAAAAGCGTAAATTTTTATACTAAATTCACCAAAATTTGGCCATAAATTATGACAATATTGTACAAAATGATAAAAATGCTGAAAAGATAAATTAATTGCGATAATTTTTACTTTCTTATGCGAAAGGATATGTTTTAGAAACAGGAGTAGGCACATCTCGAAATTTAAAATATTATCCTTCTAATATAAAATTATTAGGAATTGACTGGAGTTAAAATATGCTTGAAATAGCTTTAAATAAATCCGCTTCTCATATATAATATGATTACAAATTAGATGATACAGAAAATTTATAATTCAAAGATAATATATTTGATACTGTTGTAGACACTTTTGGATTAGAATATTATGATAATCCGGAAAAAGCATTAAAGGAAATTAAAAGAGTTTGTAAAAAAGATGGATTAATTTTAATTATGACTAGCGGATTAAGTGATTATTAAGGTTTGAATTTACTTTTGGAATATAAAACACCTTTTGTAGTTAATAAATATGGATATTTTCCTAATAGAAATTGGGACAATTATATTACTGAACTGGATTTTGAAATTGTTTTGAACTAAAAATTTATTAATGGAACTGTTTATTTATATGTTTTAAAAAATAAAAAATGATTTTTTTAATATTTAATTAAAAAAAATTAATTCATAGATATAAAAAATAAAAAAAGATGTAAATAAATAATAGATATTATATTTCTAATTATAATAATAAATATATTTAAAATTTTTATTTTAATAACATATTTAAATCAATATATGTTTATTATTTATGAAATATATATAAACTTATATAATTAAAAAAGATTGTTAATAAATTAAATATAATTTTTAACTTTTTTGAAATAAAATTAAAATTAATATATTAATTAATAAAAAAAAAAAAAAATTAAAATAAAATAAAATAAATAATATAAATAAATATGTATATATATATATGTATATATATATATAAATATTTATATATATATATATATAAATATATTTATACTATTAACTTTTTTTTTATTTATTATTTTATTTTTTAATTAAATAAGTATTTTATTTTTAAATTATATATAAAAATATAATTTATATTAATTTATATATAAATAAATTATTGAAATGTTTGAATATAATTACTTTAAAAATAAATTTATAATTTATTCTATATATTTAATATATTTAATTTATTATAAACTTAATTATTATATTTTTACTTATAAAATAAATAAAATACATTTTTTTTTTTGGTTTTAAAAATATTTTATGTACAAAAATATGAAAACTTATATAATTTATAAAATACCTATTTAATTATTTTATAAAATACCTATTTAATTATTTTATAAAATATAATTCAAATATTTTATTAAAAAAAACTAAATTAAAACTTAAAATAATAAAAAGAAATAAAACAAAAATCATAAAATTAAAAATAATATGTTATTTTATATTAATATATTTACCTATTTTTTATTTTATAATAATACAAAAATTTATTATACTGAATTTATATTAAATATTTAAATATTAATTTCTTATAAAAAATACATAAAAATATTGTTAAAATATTATCTATTTATTATTATAAAATTGTATTTATATTGCTAATATGTAAGATAAAATTAAAAAAAATTAAATTAGATAACTAAAAATAACCATTATCTAAAGTCATTTTATAAAGTATTGATGAATAATTTTATACTTAGATTATGAAGATTCATTAAAGGAAATAAAATTACTTTTTAAAAATTAATAATATAATGAAAGTATTTAATAAATTTTCATATTATATAAAAATACAACTGTTTTTTCTTAAATTAATTAAATTAATATTTTTAATTTATTTTCCCTTATTTAGTTTAAAAAATATCTTTTTTTGTTTTTAATTGTCGCAATTCCTTAAAGGAATAAAAGTTTAAAATTATTATTTCTCAAATTTTATCTTTTTATAAAAAAAAGTATATAGTCTTTACATTAATATTTTTATTGAATAAAAAAAAGAAACTTTATCATAATATTTTTCTTTTACATTTATAAAAGTTTCTAATTAATATAAGTCTACTAATACATATATTTATTTTTGAATTATAATTTTAAAAAAATATACAACTATTTTAACCATTATCATATACATACTTAAAATCATAAGTAATATTAAGAAATTAAAATAAGTTTTATTAATAAATATAATATTGAAATTATAAAAAACAACAAAATTATCTTTATTATTATTTTTCTTTTACTTTTCTGATTAATAAAAAATCAAGAAGAAATTTAATTTATAATTGTTATTAATATAAATTAATGCATTTTAATTTAATATTTTTTATTAATAATTATATTTTAAATTTAATTATTAATATTTTATTATATTATCATTATAATAAATTTAATTTTACATTATATTTTTTAAAAATTATTTAACTTTTTTATATTTAATTTAACTAAATTATCGAATATATTATGTATTTATTTTTTAAGTATATTTTATATTTTTATAATAAATATATTTTAAATTAAAATATTTATTAAATTTATGTTAATATTTAATTGTGGAGAAAAACAAATAATTTTCATAAATTTTAATAATCATAAAAACAAATATTTATAAACACTGTAAAATATTTATGAAAAAATTTATTAAATCTTTTATAAATATAAGATAATAATTTTATATATATAAACAAATACATTTAAAAAATTCGATTTATAAAAAATATATTTTGAAGAAGATTTAAAAAACAATTACGATTTTACTAAATATTAATTACTATTATGTTTTTAATTATTTATAATAAACTATATATTTTAATTTTATTAAAAGTAAACATTAAATATACATATTTAATATTTTATTTATTTTAATAAAATAAATTTATATTGAAAATAATTTTTTTTTTATATTATTATTATTATTTTTCATTAAAATAATGGACGTCAGCAAATACCTGTAGTTGGCTTTGTTCCATTAGGGCATTATGTTAAACATTAATTAAGAGACAAATACTAAATATTAAAATAAATATATGAAATAATAAATATATATTTACATATCCAGTTTAGCAAGCAGTACAAGTAGTGGGTTTATATGAAACACAAGTTTTACAAGGCGCATAACATTCAGTAGCCTCAATACAATAATTATTATATAATTACCATCCATAT